GATTTAATTAATATATTTAAATGATTTATTGTTATTTGGTGTTCTTTATATACGAAAGTAAGTTGTTGAATAGGTTTGTTCCCGTTTTGCACACATTTAATTACAGATAATTAAAAAATGTGTGAAAAACGGGAATTTGACCAGGTGAGATAATTACGTAATTGCTATAGTCTATACTATACTTGGCTTAGCAAGTATGTGAAAGATGAACTAGTGAAAAAATAAGAGAACAAATACAAAGTTAATGTATTTGATTATCCGATGATCTTATTATGACATCTTTTCAAATTAATTTTTATTCACTATTTTCTTTATTATATGTTATATCTTTAATTCATTTAGAATTATATCAAGATTTAAAAGTACATATTCTTTTTTTTAAGAAATTGGACTTAATAAGAAATAATATGAAACAAATATTAATTATTTATTCAATAAAACCAAATATTTTCCCATAAATATATATATAATTTCAATAAAATGCTTATAAAATTGTATTAAACCTCTTAAGAATACATTAAGCTAAATCAGGTATTCACAGGTAAATCCAGGTAAATCCAAAACAGAAATCAGACTATAATTGCTATCAAAACACACTTCACACCTGTTGTTCTATACTAATTACCAAATGTGTGCAAAACGGGAACACACCGTTGAATATGTTCATGATATAAACTCAATACATTAATTACAATTTCGTCTGAGATTATCTAGTAAAGCGGTCAATCTCCCGTTTTTAACCTTTTATGTAATATAAATAAATACATATCTAGAAAAACTAAAAAGCTTTACACAGCATCAGGGAAATGCTAATTTGTGAGAACATTTCATGACTATGTATGATGTAAATTCTTTGGCTGTAAAATTAAAATTTAACAACACAAACAAAACCAAAAGAAAAAAAAAACAAAAAAAAAAAACAAAAACAAAAAAAAAAACGACAACAACAAAATCAATAACAAATTTCTTTCAGAAATTTATGTAAAATGAAATGTAAGAAAGGGGATTTCATACATGTGTGATAATTGTGGATTTGGATATGTGTGAAAATAAATATACAACTGTGTTGGCAATTTTTTATTCAATGGTTCGAAACCTGGAATAAGTGGCCACTTGTCTTATGTGGCCAATTTGTCATTCTCCCACAAGTGGCCTCTTAAAACAGGTTTGACTGTACATTCAAATAATATGGGAAGTTTGCAAATTACGGGTTTATGTGTTAAAGGTCTTTTAAAACAGGAAGTAGATATATGCAAAGCTTTTTATCAATTTTTGAAGCCTCATCCTCACAACGGGTCAATGAGCTGAGAAGGTTGGACTGAACACTACCCAAGGAGCCCTTCACATAAGTTTTATCATTTCTGGCCCAGTGCTTCTTGTGAAGAAGAGTTTTGACTGGTCATATCCATTGCCAGGCCTTTATATTAATCATGTTAACATATAAAAACTTGGCTTTAGATATCAGTCAAATAACGAGCCCATATTTGCAAACAAATTCATTGAAGTTTGCAAATGGTTGAATTTAAACCGATGAATGCCCTGTTACATCAACTTACAAGTCAGTAGCCCTCCTCGGCAGGTTATAATGGAATTATAACATACATGTAAACATGGTATTGGCTGACAATAGAACCACTGGAGGAATCAGGTTTGTAATATGCAAATTGAATACAATATGAGCAAAACCATTAGTTTTATTTAATTTCTGTAAAATATTATTATCAACCACAAGTAAAGAAAAGGAAAAAAAGTGATATCATTAATGATAAACAGTGATATCTGATCAAATTAGCATTTAATTTATAGCAACAACTTTGAGACATCTCACCTCTTTGTGACAATCAGAGTTTGATGTTTTTAAACATGCTCTGATTTCATTTATCAATTTCTTCTGGCATTCAGGATGTACTGCTAGACATAAAACTGTCAGTCCTAGTGCATTAGCCACCGTTTCGTATCCGGACAAGACGAAGAATAAGCTATTAGCCGTTAGGTCGGAAATGCTTAGATCTGAAACATCAAAGTCAAGTAAGTAGGTTGAACTTGCATTTGATTGGGAATATTTTTCTTTGGCACAATGGCGGAAGACAGTATTTATACATCAAAGGCAATAACAATCAGTTGCATGCTTATTATCAATAAATAGATATAGGTTGTAATTGACGTGGTTTAATGTCAAACCTAGGTTTATCCCCTTCCTTTCCTTGGTAGTGTTTGAGTTGCTGTCGGCTTCCAGCATACTTTGAAGAAGGTCATTACATTTCTACAAAGATTTAAAACTAATATTTCTAATTTATTTCTCATCACTGTAAAACTGAAGCTGACATAATAACTGCATCACCTTAATTTAAATTCAAATTTGAATCATCTGAGACGGTTTTAAAGTTTTTTGATGCATTGTTGCATATTACCTTGATAAATAGCCAAAATAATTGAAATCGTATACTGGCATAGTATCTGAATGAGTTCAGTTTGTTCGAGCAAAGAGGACTGCTGAAATACTGAGAAGTTACATAATCATTGTCATTATATTCTCACATTATCTGGGTTATCCCTCTTCTCTATTTCTGCCGTCATCTGATCATTGAAAAACTTCCTGGTGACCTTGGAGATAGGGTTGTAATTTTTACACTGGAACCAGAGCCGCAAACAGGGAAGTATTGCTGTCATGTGAAAAAGATACAAGTCTGGGGATGTTAATATTCAAGTAGAGAATATTTATCCATAATTGTTATTCAACAAGAACTTTTATAATCTAGCAGCTGATATTTTGAACGTTTATAAAATAAAGTATGAAAATTTGATGCAAAATCATACTTCCGAGTTCAGCTTTCACATGTGTGAAGATATTAATTTAATGGTAGAAAAAGTAATTTTTCGTAAATAATCAGTGAAAGAGAAAATTATAGTGATAGAATTAAATCTCATGCCAATGGTTTATTTCTACGTTGATATAGAAGATCTTACCACATAGTGTTACTGGCTTTACAATATCTTTATTGCCAGCGTTAAAGGCTTCAAGAACTTTTCTGACAAAATCTTCATTAGGATTTTTATGGCTGGTCACACGATGGCCAAATAGAGAGGTACACAAAACGTCCATTGAGTAATAGGCACACGCTCTGTAATTGAGACGAAAGTCATTATACTATTCATTTGATATTTTAAAAAAGGATAACATTTGACGGTGTAGAAGACTTACTCGTAAAAATCGAAGCCATTTTTGTTTGCCATAGACAATTCCTTTATATGATCCACCAATTCATCCGCACATTCATTTACGATGGATAGTACCTATAAAAGAAAGTAGGGTTGGTCTTCAATTGTCATGGTTGGCGGAATACACCCTTCATTTTTTACATCATTTTTTTTCCTGAAAGGTTTTTCATTTATGCATAAAATTTTCATTTTTCTGTAAGTAGACAACCACGTAAGGTTGATTGTTTTGTAGATATGTGAATTTATAAAAGTTTCAGTCCTTGATAATTAATGGGAAAAATCGGTGATATACCAAAAGCACAATGTGTTCGTTGGGTAAAATGACGATAATTATATTATATTAGGGTGCATGCATAATGCTGAAATAATGCATCAAAACAATTTTTAGTCATTCTTTTCTATTAAGCAAGACATGTACAATTCAGCGCCAGTGAATCTAGGTTAAATCCTATAAAATGTTCCTGTTGTTTTGTTGTTTTCTCTCCTAAAATCATGTCAACAGAGAAATTCGTATTTTGAAAGAAAAAAGTCAACGTTATCGACCAGTAATCAAATTCCTTTTGAAAACACTGATTTACTTCTAAGTCCGTATTTGAGCGAAAGATTACATGTAGGAAAGTCTATGAACAACGAAATTATCGTGGCCCCGATTAGCATTTTTGCTGAATAAAGTTAACGAGTAATATTGTCTGTATGATTTTATCTATTATCCAAGGGTTTTGTGGAATGATGACAAAACAGCCTACACAAATTATGGGATATCATTAATATACGCTACACATTGCATTATCAGTCATTTATTATCATATTAAAATATATGTCGAGTACTTGCTCATGTCATTCCAACTTTTACTTGTTTTACTTTTATTGGTAAATGTACAAACATACCTTTTCAAAGATTTATTTTCATGTTAGTGTGTCTTAATAGATACTTCTACGGTATATAAACAAGAAATGTTACTACAGAAAAATTATATATCCTAATATCTTCGAATCTATGTTACCATTTTTAGGTATGGACAGAAAACGACATCATAAAAAGTTTAGTATTAAATTATTCTGTATTCTTTTATAACTTACACCTGATTTTTCTAGTTTTGCCGGACAAAATAATGGCGCCAATCTCCTACGAAGGAACTCCCACTTCTCATCCTTTGTCAGGGCAACAGCCGACTGCAGAGTACAGCCCAGGTTCATAATGCTCTAAACACACACAAGGTACAAAATAGTCATCATTAAGGAAAAGTATTACTATAAAACAATTGAAATATTGAAATAGACAACATTTAGTAACAGTTGGCATCCGAGTACAAGCTAAGTTTATGATTTGTCATTAAGGAAAAGTTTTACATGAAAAAGACAAAATTTAGTAACAACCAACATCAGAGTTTAACCTAATGAGGCATCTCCTTCCAACACCATTTGTTGCTCCTTATCATTGGGTATATAAACATTAATGGAAAAATTGGTAGACAATTTAGTGAGGAAACAATGGCTTAACAATTTGTATGAAAAACGTCGGTCAACATCCGACTTTTTCTTATAAAATCAGTATTTTGCAAATTCTATGGTCGATGCAGTGTCCTTGTTAGCAAATAAAATCTATATTGTATTTGCTAAAATGGCCTACTGTATTTGCTAAGAATTTAATTGCATCGACCATAGAAACTGCTTTATGATTATTTTATTCGAACTGTTAATATTCTTGCCTCTTTAACTTGTCAATAGTTTGCATGTCTCGTTTTAGAAATTATTCGTACGTAGAACATGTTCCTTAAGAAAAAATGAAAATCAGTTAGATCTAGTGCTATACCAAAGTTTCATATACAAATTTCTGCATAAGATCGGTCCATTAACAGAAATAACTAGTATACAAATCTCAGAAATCTGTGTAGTCTTTCTGTCCCTTTTTGTACTCCTCGAAATATCAATCAGTTTCTTTGGTTTTCTTATGTATGTATTTATTTACTAATCCACATCAACATGAACATTTGAAAAAAATATACAAAATATTTGCGCAATTATAACTTTTTAATACTTAGTATTCTAGATTCTTACCGCTCTGTTTCTAGATTCTTACCGCTCTGTTTCTAGATTCTTACCGCTCTGTTTCTAGATTCTTACCGCTCTGTTTCTGAAGCAATTAAACTTCTTTACACAGACTTCGTGAATAAAGTCAGCATCACTCGTCAATAAACAAGGTCTGTGTCCAACAAAAATTCTAAAAGGAGAAAGAAAAAATAGGGTTTTGGCAGTTTTTCTCTGTAAGAGTTTGAATTATTAAAGAACTGCATTATAAAAAAGAATATAGGAAGACTGTGAGTATGAGCAATGATGGAAGTGTACGAATAATGCCATGACTTTAAATAATGAATTTATTAGAGTTTCACTCTGTAGTATATTACTTTGGTAAATCATTAATTGTGCTTGTCTGACTAAGTTTAAATTCAAGAACGTCTCATATATATATCTAAGATAGGCAATTAAAATTTCCCTTCCAAAGTTCGAAAAAATTGACTATCAACATAAAATACCAGAGAGCACAAAATTTTCTTCTTTAATACAAAAAAGATTAAAAAAAAAAGGATTCAAACTGCTGAAGAAAGAATATAGATGCATGGTCGGAGAAGTTATAGTAAATGTATAAAAATTATTTTACAAGAACTTGATCTTACATACCCGACTATTTTTCCGTATTTTGACAACAATTCCAAATCTGTTTTAGCAATCCCCTTTAGAATAATAAAAAAAATAACATGCATCCATGTCCATGTATGAAGATGAAAAAATAAACAATACAAATGTTGTTGCAATTTTACTTTAATAAAATTTAAGGATCACATACTTCTTTGAACATATAATACAAACTTGCAACATTGTAATCATTATAAAATGTCAATCAGTAATAAAGAATATAGTGATTAAAGCAAATTGAATAAAACCAATTGCAGTTAATGCAATATTTTCAAAAAGAATTACATTGCTTTGCTATTGCAAATTATCTTTTTTTAACATTTAAATACATGTACAATTTAAATTAATTATACCTTTTTCTTAATTAAAGGAATGATTCCTAAAAACGGAGCAGGTTCTGGGCCAGGAATATTTAGCTGCTTAAAATACCCGTGTCTTCTCTTGCTGAATCTGGAATACGAACAGGTGAATTTTTACGTCATTATCGACAACTTTATCTTTCAGAAACATCCGTATGCCTACTGTAAACCTAGCAATTCTTTTGATTTATAAAGATCCGCTGTTGTCAGATTCCTTATGTTCTTTCTTTCACTTTTACATCAGCGTTGTACTCTTTTGTATTTTTCTGGGGTTTTTTTCTCTTTTTTCCAATATCACGTCTCTAACAAAACTTCTATTTAGTAAGTATAATTTTGAGGAGAATTTTTATCGTCTAGCTAACGTGTGCATTTGACCAAGCAGAATTTTTCGAAATGAGATTCACTTGTTTCTTTGCATGAAATATGTTGAGATAACAAGCAGTGTTCGAGCTCAAAAAACTATTAAACATTACAAAATAAGAACAGAACAAACACGGATCGACCTCCAAAACATCAGAGGTAGGATCAGGTGCTATGGAGGAGTGTACATCCCCTGCCGACCCAACACACAGTGCGCTCCTTGGCATGAAAATCAGTGTGTAAATAATTGCCTAACAATAAATATGAAAAAAAAAGTCCTTCAGCATTTGACTTAAGTTATGATAAATTTTATTTGCTGACAAGATCATTGTATCGACCATTGAACATACGAAATGATGACTTTAAACGAAATTGCTAATATTCTTGTCTGTCAATAACTAACTTCGATTTAAAAATTGTTCATACGAAGAACATGTTCTTGCGTATCGTATCAACTGAGAGATACAGGTAAAGAAGGTATATTCCAAATGAAATGGAAAGTATCAAGATTTAAGAGCCAGATAAGATTCGTCATGGATGTTCAACGTCAGTCGTTAAACTTTTCAAGACACTTTTTATACACTGGATAAAGTCATTTCACGTTCACGTTCACGTTTATGTCTCTCAGTTAAATTGATACGCAAAAAATTTCCATGTACAAACAACTACTACATGTACATGTTTAACGTGACGTTTTATTCACAAATAAGTTTATGATCCAACTATATCAACGATTTTGATGAAAGTCAACATTTCGCTTATTCTATAGCCGATACTTTAACCATGTGTGTTAATAAAACTTTCCGTTGTTTAGAATATTGCCGGACGTCTTTTATACAAAATTTAGCCGTTATTTTCACACTGAATTGACTACGGATTTTTTTCGTTCTGATAAGGAGCAACACCGACTGTGACGTCGACAGGGGACGTTTACTCCTCTGTGGCACCCAATTCCACATTCGTTTTAGAGGTCCGAGTTGGCGCTTCTCAAAACTTAATTTTTGCACGATTAGTTCTTATATTTTTTATCATCTTGCTTTCTTGGATATGTTACTTGAAAAGGACACTAATGGTAATCTAACAACCAAGCTCTATGATAAAAGTGATGACTTTAACTTTTCTATCGCCAACTTCCCTTACCTATGCAGCAATATACCTTCATCACCTGCATACGAAGTTTACATATCTTAGTTGATTCGATACGCTAGAGCATGCTCTACGTATGAACAATTTCTAAAACGAGGTAAATTATTGACAAACAAGTTGATTAAACAAGACTATCAGCAGTCTCGTTTAAAGTCATCATTTCGTAAGTTCTATGGTCGATACCATGACCTTGTGAGCAAATACAATTTATCATTGAGTCAAATGCTGGCTGACGTTTTTCATACTAATTGTTAGTCCATTATTTATACCCTGAATTGACGACGGATTTTTCCATTATTCCCCGATCATGACAAGGAGCACACGGCGGGTGTGACCGGTCGGCAGGGGATGCTCACTCCTCCATGGCACCTGATCCCACCTCTATGTTTTGGAGGTCTGTGTTTGCTCTGCTTCTATTTTGTATAGTTTTTTGGATTTTGATATTGAATACTGTTCGTTATCTCCATAACCTTCATTTCTTAAGTTCCGTGTTTATCGCTCTGTTTACAATCTGTATTGTTGAAAGATTTGTGAGATCGGTCATTGTTCGTTATCTGCACCTCTTTTTCTTTTTTTAAAATACGTGTATAAAGGATTCTTTCTTATTCACCTTTGTATGCATTGCTTTTTCTGTTTTCATCTCAGATCAGTTTATTTACTTAAAACGACTGCCTTCGACATCAAACGTTATATCAGATTAACATTATTTTGTCAGTATGTTTAAGCATTTGATGCATAAAGAGTAACAAAATTGATGATCGTTTGTTCTATTTTTATTTTAACCTCAAAAACGGCATATAAGTCCGAATCATAACTACATAAACAAACATTTTGGAACAATCTTTTCTATACGGTATACTAGTATATCCAGGATTTCTAAATTATTTTGGAAGTATATTATCATAATATGTCGCCATCGTAATGTGATTCAGAAAAAAAACCTTAAATTAAGACATCAGACCAGGAAGGCGTTGGAGTAAAATGAACAGTAGATGATTAATTGATCAGAATCGCATGTATATGTCAATTTGTTTAGTAATCCAAAGTTAATAATGCATCAAATTGTTCGATTTCCTTTAAATGAATAATATAAATAAAGTATCTACGATGTTTCATTAATTATTAATTCATGGTTAACTATTTAATGGATTATCGAAAATAAACCACAACCCCCGGCAAGCACATGCAGTTTAGCAAGTGATTCACCTGTTTTCTAATTGCGGTTCAAAATGTAGAATATATTATGTAAATACTACTACTTTGAGGTGACAGATAATATTAATGGATTTGGGACATTTTTCTTCTCTCACGGGAGGGGGGCAGGCTCCTTAAGATCCTAAATGTGTAGTCTTTTAAAACCTATACAATGATGCATTCAAGAGGAGATAGGGACGGTGTACAATTACATGATCGTCTCGTTTTCTATAAAACCCTGATTGTCTATCTTTAATACCTGTGTTCGTAGGAATGAAAAGATTTTGAAATAATGTTGTTTTTTTATATATTCAAAAATTACATCGTATAAAAATGTTTTGTCATCTTATTTGGGTTTAAAAACCAGCAAACATGATACACAGCTGTTCCATGTTTGAAATAACAGAAAGATCGAAAGTTTTGAATTTGTTTTACATTTACACACGAAAAATATTATCCTTTCAATTTAGATTAAATACGTCTTAGAGAACACTTTGTGTACAATGCATCAAGTTTCTTTCGGACAAAAGTTCTTATAAAAACATTTTTGGACGTTTAGTCGGGTATAATAATGTTTTGATCTTATACAAACACTTTCTTACAATTTTTCTTAAGTTGATTTAAAGTACTTCTTAAACCCCACGATTAAGCTATTCTCCCTTGTTACTCTGCAACTCATACTTGTCTTAGATTGTGATAGTCTTGTCCTTGGCCAGTTAAGGCTAAAAGTAAATGGGCATCAAGCAATGAATCCATATACAAACTTTTTCTGTATAATTTTTCTTTTGGCAATGCAAAAAGACATCATTGAGAAAGATCTTACTGGTTGAATCGGGTCAACTAAACTCATAAATCGTACAGAATGGGATAAATGATCTTTAAAAGATCAGATCTGATCAGCTGATAGTAGTGGATATAAAAAATCAACCATGTTACCTATAATTAGCATTAAACAATTTGTATGCATGCTAATAACATAACAATATACCAAGTCAAAATCATTGACATTTATAAACACATTTACTTTTTAGATAATGAAAACGTTCATTTACTGGAATCGTTAACTTGATACTAAATAAGCTAATGCATAAATTTCGATGCCTGAAATGATACAAAATGTGTAAAATATCTACTCACATTACAAATGCTACGATTAAACCACATGTTATTCCCAGCAAATAAAGCCACACCATTCTGTTCCCCTAATGTCGCAGTATAATTCTGTCGGTTTTGTAAACCTGGCCGATTGACTGTTAACTCAAGACCACCGTACCAGTTCCGCCTTCCGCATTTAAATTTAAACCTCAAGCACCTACATAGCAATGATACCGACATGGAATTGTTACATAATTCATTGTAGACGATTATAGCTTTTGTTTGAACAGATAAGCTTTTTAAATCGGTAAATAACTGCCAGTGTGATTTTTATTCACCTTTGTGTACGATCTGTCTCCTTGTGAAATGTGTATTTTCAAAGTTCATCTACACAAAAAAGTAAATCATTTTATTATTTAACGAAATCTAAAGGTCGTTAATGTTTAAAAACCTATCAATAGATTATCATATTTTTGTTCCTAACAATTGACAAAGAGGAAGATCAACATTACCACTATATTGAAAATAAAAATCGAGATTCGAGATTCGAAATACGAGATTCGAAATTCGAGATTCAAGATCCAGATTAACCAATCAAAAGCGGGTTCAACATTTGATTACTCCCCTTTATTATGATTTTACTATCAAGAAATCGTTTAATATATTAATAACAAATGAGTCATTTGATTAAATTACAATGCAAGAAAGAGTGTTATATATATTACAAGGAAATTTAAATATCATTGGATTTTTGATCAGCAAGATATACTTCAATTTATATTATGACGTCTTAAATATTAAATAGAATACATATACCAGGAGTATATATATTTTTGTTTTGTCTCCTTTGTATCCGGAGTTATAAATAAGTGTCAAGTGTCTAAAGATTAACAATAACACCATCCCTACCAACCCCACCTGCCTAACTTCCAAAAACACTGAAAATGTTACTTTGTAAAATTTGAAAGGCGACGTGGTATTGAAAAACAAAAATCGCGTTCGTTTTCCTGATAGAGGAAATACATAAAAATCAAGTATTTAATTACTTATCTTAATCTAAGGCTTTGATTTCTTGAATTAATTAAAGAATATATATACAATATAGATTGGCAATATGAATTAAAATAAATGCGGCATTTATTTTATCTTATATCAAATAGTAGATGAGTCTAAGTTTAATTCAGAACTATAGCGTCATGGTTTTTAATTCTAGTCTCTTACCATACCGTTATGACCAAAGACTAAAATAGTAACGCTACAGTTCGATTAATTCAGCAGTCAAGTCTCACAGCACAAATGTACCCTTTATAAATTTAATGAAATATATACATGTATCCTTGATCTACTGTGCAGTATAGAGACGATTCATAATACTAGTATAATCAAATACAATATTCTCCCTCAGCAATGATCTGATTAAAAAACAATAGTCGAGATACTTCTTCCGCAAGTCAACGATAGGACCATATAATATTCTATATATACGTATTTACTATTTTTTTAATGAGAAAAATAAAATTATATACGTATTTTTCAAAATGTAATCCAAATTTTATTTTTATTTCGTTTTAATACATAAAACATTTTTTCTTGCATTATCATTTTAGCAAATGACCCATTTGTTATAAATATATTCAACGATTTCCTGATAGTAAAAACATAAGAAAGGGGAGTAATCAAATGTTAAACCCACTTTTGATTGGTTAATCTGGATCTTGAATCTCGAAACTCGAATTTCGAATCTCGAATTTCGAATCTCGTATTTCGAATCTCGAATCTCGTATTTCGAAACTTGAATCTCGAATGAGCCTTCTGGGCTTTCGTACAAACATTACCACTTCTTTGTATTTAAATTTAGGGTGCTCACTATTCCTACATCTTATATTTTTATTTCGTTTTAATACATAAAACATTTTTTCTTGCATTATCATTTTAGCAAATGACCCATTTGTTATAAATATATTCAACGATTTCCTGATAGTAAAAACATAACAAAGGGGAGTAATCAATTGTTGAACCCACTTTTGATTGGTTAATCTGGATCTTGAATCTCGAAACTCGAATTTCGAATCTCGAATTTCGAATCTCGTATTTCGAATCTCGAATCTCGTATTTCGAAACTTGAATCTCGAATGAGCCTTCTGGGCTTTCGTACAAACATTACCACTTCTTTGTATTTAAATTTAGGGTGCTCACTATTCCTACATCTTATCAACAAAAGTATGAGCGATTACAGAACTCATTACTACTGCATGCATGAGTCTGCCATTGATGGCATAGAATTTGAGTTCTCACTCACAATGTAGTAAAAGTACAGTTATAAACTTGAGATTATTCATGCCAGTCTGTAGTCAAAAGAAACGTATTATAAAACTTTCTCAATTTTTAAAGTATGGAGATGGGAAAAATCCTCAAAACTATGTCTTTTAGAAAATACATGTGATTAAAAATAATTGTATGAAACCCCTCCAAGTTCTTTTTACTTCCCGCAATTTCATGTAGCAGTGAATCTTCATCAATTTCATGATCTTATTAAATTATACCGACATATACGTATCCTTACATGTAGCATCCTTCATTATTTTATTGAATTATAGTTTTAGATGACAAATATTTAAATTTAAACTGTATTTATATTCTGATTTGATTTTTAAAGTTTTTACTTAAATTTCTATGAAATACAGCCGATTACATGATTTGTCAGTTGACTTTATACTCTATAAGTTAAGTGGAAAGTATTTTTTAATGAATGAATACTGTCTTATATCAATTTTTATTTGAAAGTCAGAAATTAAATTAGCATTGGATGTTGTTGATGAAACAAGAATATCAGCAGTCTCGTTTAATTAGTCATCATTCTATAAGTTCTATGGTCTATCCAATGACCTTGTCATCTGCAAATACAATTTGTCATCGAGTCAAATACTGACTGACGTTTTTCATAATTGTTAATCCATTATTTATATACTGAATTGACGACACATTTTCCTGTTATTTCCCAATCATTACAAGGAGTAAACGGCAGATGTGACCGGTCAGCAGGGGATGCTCACTCCTCCATGGCACCTGATCCCACCTCTGATATTTTGGAGGACCGTGTTCGCTCTGCTTCTATTTTGTTTTGTTTTATGGGATTTAGATCTTGAATACTATTCGTTATCTCCATATGTTTTATGCTGTATCTAACCTACATTAATAATGATCAGGTTATTTTTTAGAGCAGGCCCATTTTGAAGAACATGTAACAACGAAATTTGATGACCTTTCTTGTGTTAGATGGTGATGCATCTAGGGATGACTACTACCAGACATGCTCTGCATGCTGTATTTGAATAGCATAACCATTTGTAGATCTGGAGCAGATTCATTTCCTGAATTCCATATTAGCAGAAATTCTGTTTGACGCAAGACTGCCTTCTTGAACCATATTTTTCAGGGTGAGCTATAATGTAGATGAAACTGTATGTTCTATATTTTTTTAATCAGAAAGATCCTATAACTTTATTTTTTAATCTAAATTCAACATTTTCAAACTTCGAATTATTTTATTTGAAGTATTGAATTAATCAATGGTTTACACCTTAGACAGTTCTTGATATGTACCACCTCAATTTTAATTTTTCTTTCCTCATCACATCTTTCTTTTTATTCTTCTAAAGATATTTTTCTATTGGCTTTAAATTCCAGACCTAGCTCGCTTCATTACAGCATGTTACAAAGTGCAAGCATTCAGAGATAAAAATTTATCTCCTTACTAAAGATTTAAGGGGAAATTACAATTGCATAAATAGTTATAATTACAGTTTATGGTGTTGAGATGACAGCTACATAGTTAAGCAGCTTAAATCTACCCTTTGTTAGGTTAAATTTATATCTGGAGAGCCGTACGAAGTTCATTTCTTTATCGTGTTCTACGTCTAAGATTTTTTCACTCAATTAAGAAGAGTTTTCACTAACTTTTAGATTTTAATCAATGCAGTATTGTGTTATGTCCAGTGATTTGACAATTTAAAAAATATGAATGTTATAAATACTTGAGGTACTGTGAGCACTTAGCTCACTAAATGATACCACCACCACCCCACCCCCACCTCTCATGCCATTTTGATTATATAGCAAATTCCATGTTTTGTTCTGGGAGACAAGAGGAGGATTTTCGGACATGAGATGGGTACCCTTGAATATTATAGAAAGAAAGGCAGTGACCATATTTTGCTAAGGGAAACCCGAAATGTGTTCCAGATCAAAAAGTAAAGTAGGAGTTCACAATGGCATTATTTAATAAAAAATTTGTGATGGTGTCATTAAATTTTAGTTCAGTGATATAGAAGGAAGAGATGGGTACCCTTCAATATTATAGAAAAAATGGCCGTGTCCATGTTTTGCTCTGTAAGACCAAAAATATGTGTCCGATCAAACAGTAAAATTAAAGATGCACAATGGCACTAACCCCCCGTTCACACATCGAAGCCGCTTCTACTACGATCAAAGTGTGGTCAAAAGCGTGGCCGATCGTGACAAATCGCAGGAGGAATGTCGTGGGGTCATCAGAAGCGTAGTATGATCGCAGTAGAGTCTTCATGATCGGAGAGCTCTACGCTCTCACCACGCTTATTTTGAACATGTTCAAAACAAGCGTAGCGGGATCGTGGTCAACAAGAATCGGGGTGAAGTCGTAAGAAGGGCGTAGTAGAAGCGCCGTAATCGTACAAGCAGCGCGGAAGCATCGTAGAGAGATCTTCATGATCGTAGTAAAAGCGCCGTGAGAGCGTAGGAACTTGCCAAGCACGCTCACACAACGCTCCCTCTACTTTCGTACTACGTTCTCACTACGATCTCTCTACGTGCCTGAAGATCCTACGAAGACCTACAATGACCTTACTCCGATCATATCACGACCTATCAAACAAGAGTTTGTTCTTATACCGCTGATATTTGACCAATCATCATCTGTTAACTACATGTAAAGGGTGACACTATACTTGATGATCATTTACAATTGAGCATTTTTCACATCTTGTTACAGTTACAATAATTGAAAATGCCCTAAACCATGTGGTAAGGGCCAGAAAAAAAACTGCGGTCGCAAAATAAGTATCATCGCTAAAATTGTACTACAAGAATCTGCAGTTTCAAGATGTATTTACATCATCACG